TAAGTCACACGTCTCGTAGTCATCGTCGTCGTTTGGATTTGGTGGTTAGGCTCCATTTTGTCTAGGCAACGAGCAAACGACCGCACACGAGTGCGCACGCGTACATGCGTCATCGTGATACTGTGTTTAGCTCTTGTTCTCACACGCCCATGTCTATTTGTGTGTGTGTGTGTGTGTGTGTGTGCGTACGCTCGAGTCTCATGTCACTCGTGTATGTGTGTATGTGTGGTTGTACGCTCGCTGACTCGCCCTATTTGATTGCGCGCAGAGTCAGTCAGTCGCCAGTTTGTCTACGTCTGTGCATTTTTGTGCACCACCACGATAGCAATGAAGGGCTTTCATGCTTATGGAGCCTCGCTCTCTCACTCTCTCTGTATACAAGTGGTCACCCAGGTACACTTGTATCAATTTGTACGTGTGCGTATGTGCCTCTGTGTGTGTGTGTGTGTGAGTGTGAGTGTGGGACAACATAGGCCTGTGCAACACGTTTAAACCTCACTGAAGTGCATCTACATTCAGGTGCGCATGCGTACGCACCCATTCGTACTAATACAGAACACATACACCAGTATACGCGGCTGTCTATATAGACAACCGGTGGCGGTGGGACCAGCCCGACTAGACAGAATGGCGCCAGATCAATAAATCAATGGTACCAAGACGCCGGGTGATGATGCTGATGATGGTGATGGTGACCATGTTGCGCACTTTGGATACTTTTCATTTGTGTGGCGCACACCGAAGTACCGAGTTTTTTTTATAAGAAGGGGAGGGGAGTTGGGTGGTGAAAGGAGAACTGAAGAGAACCTTCTTATTTCCGTGTAAACATGATGCATGTTTGTGAACGAGGCAATGTTCAATACGGTCATGTATATACCCACACACGCACGCACGCACGCACACCCATACATCCACGTAATCTGGTAGCAATGCATCGACAACAGGGATGCCCAAAAGGGATATACAAATGTCGCCATCGGAGATAGACAGCCGATAGTGATAGCATTCCATGGAGGAAAACATGCTTTCAGAAAAAAAACAATGTGAAAATATAAACTCCCATTGGCATTTTGATGTGTGTGTGCGTGCGTGCCTGTGCGTGTGTGATAAGGTGCGCGAACAACGCCACTATGTGTGGCTTTGTGGTGGCGACATATCGTATCACCTGACCGATACGTGTGATGCGTCCAGTTAAGGAGTAGTCTGTAGCCGCCTCATTGTTATCGTAGCCGTGGGGCTGGCTGTCTACCTCAACTGCCTTATAGAAAAGTGTATCTCCAAGTGTGTGCTTGTAGCTACCGGGCCCATTGACAATGAGCGGACAACAGATTAAGTGAAGTCAATTGCTTGGTCAGATGCATGGATGAATTTCGAGTGAGTAATACATGACTTTGCAAAACACCCTACACAAAAGGTATGATCTGACCTGGTGAATGCTCAGCGAAAACAAGGAATGAGGCGTATGAACGCGAAGTCACAGCGAGATCTAATAGAGATAATAGCATGAACGAATACTGTGTAAAGCGTAGAGCTTGTGGGCAGGTGAACTGTACACATCAATACCCGTTTGATTCGGTTTGAGTGATACCAATTTGATATCTTTCTCTACGGTTCCCTAGGGTGTCACAGAAATATGTCCACCCATTGAGGTCACTGCACTTGTAGTGGTGGTGGACTGGTTGAGGTCTACGATAACCCAAGCAGATCGTTCGTCATTAGCTACGGTGTTCACTAAGGGTGTCTTATTTTGTCATTCCTGATGGAGTTCCTCCCAGACAAACTATTCGAGAACAACCTCAGTGGTCTCTACTGAATGGTGGCACTGAATGGGTCGCTAGAAAAGCGCTGACCAATCGAGAATACACCCACGGCAACGTTTATCTTTTCCGGGGACTAACAATTTCCAGTACTCCGTTAAATGTGCTTTACACCTATAAAATGCACCGTGGTATTGCAATACTGGGTGCCGACAAACTGTGCTCTGAAAATAGATGGTGAAGAATTAACTGAAGCCTATTGCTTCGCAGTCGCTTGGTGAGTAACAGATCTGTAATCAAGGAGGCGACCACACGCGTATTCTATACTGAAACACGTATTGCGTTGATGTGATTTTT